ATAGGTTCTGGACAGAGGCCCCTTCCTGACTTGGGATAGCTACCTTCTAGCTACGCATTCTCATGTCAAAGAGTAAGTGAAAGGGAGTCTTTTGGTGTCTCATCTCCTAGGGACACTAATCCTGTTGGAGGGGGGCCCCACCCTTATAACTTCATTTAACCTTGATTGATTGGTTATAGGCTCTCCCTCCAAATGCATGGGGGTTAGGCACATGCCTGTCTCATCTAACCCTCCCTAAAATACCATGATGTCTGAAGACAGTACAGTAAGTACTGAAACCTTTCCTGCCTCAGTTTCTCATCAGAAAATTGGTAAAATAAAGTAACACAGAAGGTTACCTGGAGAACCAAGATAAGCCAAACCTGGCAATCAGAACTGCATGCACACAGAAAAGTCCACAGATGCTACTACTGTCACTGCCATTTTCCACAAGGAAGATGTGGTCAGAAGGATCAGGTGCCCTGCTAGAGCTCATGATCTGGGGACATTAGAGAGGCCTGTCTCACTGCATTCATTCTCCCCTGGTGAAGGAGCAGAGCACAGTTGCTGGACTCAGGCAGCCTCACTTCCTTTCACAGGGCCTGTCCCCACTTCTGCACCTCCATCTGGAAGGGAAGAGGCTTAGCAGCATGCATGACCACACACACACACACACACACACACACACACACACACACACACGCACACCCTGGGTGGAGGAAAGCGGAGGCAGGATGTTCCTCTGGGTTTATAGGCTGACAAGACCGTAGCTAGCAACACAGTACACTAGAAGGTAGTGGATGTTTGAAGAAGCCCAGGCCAGCCACAATTTGTTGCCCTTGAAGGCCAAAGTCATTATTTTCCACTTGAGAATCCCTGAGCCTGGCTTTCTATGTCAGGATAGGCAGCATTCAGGAAAGAGTTCTAGCCCAGGAGGATGATTGCCTGCTTACCCCCAACATGTCCACAGCAGCGGTGGTCAACCCCAGACACCCAACTGGAAAGCTTGAAGCTCATGGTGTGGAACCCCAGCTAAGAATCCCTGCACTCAGCCTGGCTGAGGCCTGGGCACAGAGGCCTCAAAATGCCATATGCAGGGAATACTATGCACTACCCAGTCTGAGGACCGGCCCCAAGACCTGAGGCAGGAGGGGGAAGCAAAGAAGCATTTTCCCCTGAACCCCAACAGTAGCCCCAACCCACACTTGCCAAGTGGTGGGGCCTCAAACATGGACCCAGTTTCAAAAACAAAATCCTGCCCTCAGGTAGCTTACAGGGCTTAATGTTGAATCAGACTGTAAAAGCAAAACAAAGAGTATCAATGCTTCATGAAGAAAGGGTGTTTAAACACCACACCTACACTTAATTTACTCTCCCCCCGCCCCACTCTCTCTCTTCAAAACAAAGCCAGCTCTTCTGATTGAATTAGTTTATCGGGAAAAACTCCCTATCTGGTTGATTTTTCTCATGTTGGGGACGACTGGAGAGAACTTCATCACAGATAGGATCACTGTCTGAGCTGCCTCGCGTCTACTTACAGGCATAAAGGGTCCCTGCCTCAGAGTCCTGAGCGGCTCATGTGGTCCCCAAGTCATTCTGGTTTCCCAGGACTTTGTGGCTCTAACATGAAAGTCCTGCAATCCCAGAAGGTCCTCCTTCCTGGGACAACCTCGAATACAGTCACCATTCTAGTATTTTCTATAGGTAATTGATAACAAGAATCACTGCAGCAATTGCTACAAGTACAGCTTCCAGGACCCCAACCTGACTTGGGTGAGAGGGTCTTGGGAATCAGAGATGCTGCCAAATTCCTCAGTGGGTTCTATCAGGGAACTTTGGGCAAACTGACTGTGAACAGCAGTGATAATAACAACAATAATGCTATTCATGACCAGCACTTACAGGCCCTGTTTGGGGCTTAATTATTATAACAACCCCTTGAGATGAGGCCTATTACTATCTCAGTTTACAGAGGAGGAAACTGAGGCCCAGGGAGGCTCAGAAACGCACCCACATCACTCCTTCAGCATGTGGTCAGTAGGGGTCCCAAACGCCAGAGCCCAGATCCCTATCTTTGAGTCACGCTGTGCTATATCCAGGGCGGTGGACACAGGGCTAGCCCGTGGTGGGGCTCCCCATGCCCCTCAGCTGTGGTGATCATTACTACTTTATTAGTTAAATTACCTTTTGGCATCGGAGGACTTGCAGTCCTCTTGCCAAGGGTTAGCAGAGGAGTAACTGCCAATCATCAAACCTTCCCCACCCACTCACTCTGACCTAGCCTGCAGGTGGGGTAAATTCATGTATCCGCCAGTAGGTGGCAGCAGCAGCCTTTTGCTTTTGTTCCATATAAATCCTACTCTACAAACTGAAGGTCAGGCAGGCAGGAGCAGTTTCACAAGCTCTAACAGCTGGTGAGAAGGGGTGTTACCTGATTCCAGGTGATCCCTGCAGAAGATGTGTGGCTGGATTCTCCTTTCAGTCCCCTTGGCCCTGAAGCTGCCAAGAGGCCACTTAAAATGCACAGTGATCAGGATCATGTAACCCCAGCTCCGTGGGGGGAGAAGTTCTCTTCTGCCTGCAGATATCCCCCACCTCCCAGCCCCAGATACATCATAACCTTAAGCACTTATTGAAAGTAGCTCCCCAAAAGGATCAAATTCAAATGAATACTTATAATGTTTGTAGGCCCATCATTAAATAATAATGTTAAATCTGTTAAAAGCTAAATATAGATGGATAAATTTGGTGAGTAAATATATTCTTGCACGTGTATATACGTATGCTCTTGTTTATGTATGACCTTGGCCAAAACATTTAACCTATATACCTCATTTTCCTCGTCTGAAAATCTAGAATGATAATTCCACTGCCTTGCTGATGTGTTACAAGGAGTAAATTAGCTTCACAACAAGTGAAGCTCTTAGAACCTCATCTTGACACATGGAGCGCTCTAACTAAATGATGTTACTATTATTGCTTTATCATGACTGTGCTTACTAGAGTTTTCGTATCACTTTTGTGTACAGTACGTTGCAATCCTGGCCAGTCTTACCAGGGGCAGCATTTAATCTCTCAGATGCCTCATTCCCCAAGGTCGATCCTGAGCGGGGTCAGTGACCTTTTTGGAGAGGGCCCAATAGTAACTATCTTAAGCTGTAGAGACCATGTTTTCTGTCACAACTCTCGACTCTGACATTGTAGCATAAAAGCATTCTAGACAATGTATCAGTAAATGGGCAGGGCTGTCTTCCAATGAAACTCCAACCAGGGATGCTGAAATTTGACCTTCATATGATGCTCATGTATCGCACCTCATGATTCTTTATCTGAATTCTTTCAACTGTTTATAAATATGAAGCCCATCCTTAGCTCAAGGGCGGTACTGGAACAGGCCGTGAGCTGAATTTGGCCACAGCTTTGTTTACTGACCTGGACTTGAGGATCTTGCATTATATTCATAATGTCCCATTTATAGATGGAAGTGATGGCCCATTATAAGCATGCACATCATGAAATGTTGCAGAATAACAAGTGTGCTGTGGGTTTCAATAGTGCTCAGCTTTGTGACACCGTGTGATCAGAAGACACACAAAGTCCCCGGATGTGATTAGGTACCAAATTCCCCTGAGAGAGCAGGTGGTGGGAGCCATGGCCCTTTCTTAGCCTCCCTAAATTCTGATTTCTCCACGTATCTTTTACTGGGAATTAAAAACTCACATCCAGGGTGAGAAGCCCACAGGAATCCTTGCAGACACATTGACTGCTGTCAGCCAGAAACCAAAACTCCTAGTTTTTATTCTGAAAGCCACTGGAGCACATGAACCAGTGGCCCGACTTTGGAGAAGGGCTAACTGGAAAAAGAATGTGGGGTAGTGAGACGGCGGGTCTTTGGAGTGGGGGAAAGGGCTCTAGTTCTAGGATCAGACATACTCGGCATCCAGCCCCCACCGTGCCATGTTGTGGCTGTGTCCTTGGTGACCTTTGGAGCCTCGATTCCCTTCTTTCCAAGGGGAGGTAATAATATGCAGAACATTCTGGAGCAGACAGTGCCCATCTCTTGCCTCTACCCCATTAACTGTGAGAAGCATTTTAACCTCCTTGGGCTTCAACTTCCTCATGTCAAGAATGAGATGGCAGTAATACCTGTTTTGCAGGTATTTATTGGCCTCATTTTCTATGTGCTTGTCCGTCTGCCTGCCAGAGCTCTGAGGCACTGCAGGGAGGAATGAGTCCATGTGGGCCAAGTGCCTGGAAACCATGGTTGGAGTCCCTATCGGGCCAATGGGTCACATCATCACTATGACACACCAAGGCTCTGAGAGAAGAGATGGTGTGGCATTGCCTGGGTCAGGGTCTGACACAGGAGACAGTTACTAATGGTTCTTCCCTCCAGTCAACTCACACATAACCCCTAAGCTCCTAATAAATGCAGACACACTACTAGAAATAGGAGATAAAATGCTGGAGAAGGCAGACTCGGCCCTGGCCTGGGGACACTCCAAGTCTGGGACAGTGACCATGTCAGTGGTCATCCAGAACCCTCCTACCCACACTGCCACCCTGTCCTCTATCATGTAATGTAAAAAAGAGATGCCAGCACTATGAGAGGCTTTAATGGGATTAATTTACTGAGGATCAGAAGAAAGTAAAATCCTAAGTATTATTCCAATTACTCTTATTCTAAGGTCTCCTTGATACAATAGCTGGGAATCCCACTAAAAGTGGAAGAAAACATCTTTTGCCCTCAATACCCTTTTCACGTTGATAAATATTTTTCCCCAGCAATGACATGCTACTGAAAGCTGCCATTTGACTGTTGTGTGTGAGGATCCAAAATCTCCCCCTCATCCCCCAAAGCGAACATAAGCATCCTGTTCTAACCTGGGCCTGTGATAACATCCGAGAGCCACCGTCGGGGGTCTGCTCCTTGGCTGCAAGTGTCAATTGAAGACTTTGGTTTGGCTTGGGTTTAATTCCTTTCTCTCCCCCTGTCTCTTTCTTTGTCTAATGCAGGAACAATGGGCAACCAAATGAGCGTTCCACAAAGAGTTGAAGACCAAGAGAAAGAATCAGAAACGGAGGCTTACAAGGTAGGGCCACTGCAGACACAGGGAACTGGCTACTGGTAGTGGTCACAGACAGAAGCTGCAATGGCTGCCCAGTGCTCGTCACAGCCATGCTGGAGAAGGACTCCTGTCCTCATTGCTGTTTGGCTTCTCAGACCTCTGGGGTCCATCAAGGAGCTGGTTAAAAATGCAGGTTCTGGGGCTCTGCTTCAGTCTCGATGAGAAATTGCAGAGATGGGCACCTCTGGAACACAGGTGGTTGGTCCCTAGGAAGCCAGTTCATCACCTACTCCCAGATGGGCTCTCAACTGTAGCATCTTGTCAGCCGATCCTTGCAGGGACACCTATCAATGTCTGGGGATATTTTTGATAGTCACATCCCAGGAGGGGTGTTTCTGGTGTCTAAGGCACAGAGACCAGGGCTGCTGCTGCACATGCTGTAATACACAGGTGGTTCCACTCCATAACAAACCATTATCTGCCCCAACATGTGCACAGGGCTGAGGGTGAGAACCCAGGTTTGCATCCGTGGTTCCAGATCTCAGCTGCACTTTAGACACCACTGTCTGGCAATGCCTGCGTTGCCCTCTACACCAGTTCAGCCAGAAACTGTGGGGGAGCTGAGCAGGCTGGGGGTTTTCAAAGCTCCCTGCTGTTGGAGTATGCAGTCTTGCTAACGAGGGGTCCCTCTCCCATGCTGATTCAAGAGCTGAGGCCAGGGACACTCTTGTTTCTTCTTGGACCTTCTACTTCCAGAAGCAAACTAAATTTCTACCATCAGTACTTTTATATCAATTCAGCCTAACGCTGGGAGCCTTGCTAAATGAGGAAATCCGGACAGGAAAAACACCTATGCGTGCAAGTTGATCACAGAGGAGAGGGGCCTCCTACTCAGAACAGAAGACTGGGTTTGAAGAAAGCCTGGGAAGGAGAATGCTCACAGCGTGGGCCTCAACCTGCGTGTATATTAGCATGACCTGGGATGCTCTGGAAACTCCCGATGCCAGGCCCCACCTGAGACCTCCTAAAATCATAACCTCTGGTCGTGGGGTGGGCACTACAGGTTTCCCAAATCCCCAGATGGTTCCAAGTCCAGATAAGCCTGCTTACCTCAGGCCTCCAGGAGCCAGGCAATGCAGGCAGAGAACTGGAGGCCAGCAGCCCATCCGTGGGCCCAGCCAACTCGCACCACCAGGAGGGCCCTAGCCCCCGCCAACGCACTCACCAGGATGGCTGGCATTCTCAGATTCTTGTTGTTCATTAGGAATTAGTAAACAGTGTTAATGAAATCTGCCGATTTTTTTTTTTAAGAGAGAGAATTTTTTAATATTTATTTTTCAGTTTTCGGTGGACACAACATCTTTATTTTATTTTTATGTGGTGCTGAGGATCGAACCTAGCGCCCCACGCATGCCAGGCGAGCGCGCTACCGCTTGAGTCACATCTCCAGCCCCCGATTTTTTTTAAAAAAAGGCAATTGATTCTGAAATATTTAAGATAGTCTATTTACTCAATACATCAAATTTATATAAATATTGACCCCCGGGAGAGCTGGTAGCATCGTCTGAGCCATGTGGTCTGATGTTTTCTTGGTATGGTGTTTGTAGATTTGAGAACACAGACTTATTTTAAACAATTATGACCATTACAAAACACAAAGGGAAGCCTTCTCTCTCCTCCCTCCACAGGAGGAGAGTCCCACCTTTAGGAGCTGGCCTTTAGTTTTTTATCTTCTGTATTTATTAGTACATGTTCTTACTCTTAATAGCAGTATCAAAACAAGACAGTATGTTAAATACTTAACATAATTTAGATTCGATTGATATATGATTAGGAGTATAATTAGATTATTGGATCACAAAACGGCATTATATGACATACTCTTGTGCAACTGTTTTTCTTCCCATGTGAGTATGAACGTTTGTGTGTATATGTGTCTTTATAATATTTGGAAGTATCTATACTAAGTAACAGAAGAGGAAAATAATCAGGGCAGTGCCCTGAAATTATAAAGTGTTTACAACAATGAAGATAAAGAGAGGGAGTATGAAGAAGAGTACACAAAACACACACACACACACACACACAACACACGCACACAACACATGCACACAACACTGCACCTCCTGTATCTGACAGGCTTGTTGACCAGCATCCTGGCTGATGGTTGTGTTGGTGTCTGCCAGGTGGTGGAGTGAGCTAACCCCCAGATTTGGGAATCAGCATGTTAAATTTTTGCTCCATCCTGATTAGGAAAGAGCCCAGGAGCCTCAGTGCCCCAGGGCAGGTGCCTGCCTGACTGTGACACTCACTAAGACAGGCATAAACCAGAGAGTGCATTGGGGGGGGGGGGGGCAGAATCCAGGCCCTGAAGAGGTTATTTCATTACTCTGAGGCATGATAGAAAGCTCAGGAGTGACTAGAAACAGCCTGTAAATGAAGTTTAATTCTGTGAAGTGATCTTCAGGCTATTCCCGGAGTTCTTCCAATTTTCCCTGAAGACTTGCCCAGTAACAGCCACCTGTTCTGTTTCAGGCATCCAACAGCGTGTGTGATCAGAATGGGATCCCAGTGATGATATCCACCCATACTGTTCAGCACTACGATGAAGGTCAGTACCATGCTGGGCGGGCTGCTGCTCTCTGGTCCATCTCATTCCTGTTCATAGCAAACTTTCCAAACTCCTTGGAAAGTTCACCCAAATTCGTTTCCTGGAGCTGCTATAACAAATTGCCACACACAACAGAAATGTATTGTCTCACCGTGCACAGGCCAGAAGTTAGAACTGAGGCACTGGCAGGATGGGCTCCTTCCAAGGGCGGGGTGGGGGCTGTCCCAGGCCTGTCCCCTGGGCTTGTGGATACATCTTCTCCCTGCACCTTCACCGCACCCTCCCTCCCTTTGAACACTTCTGTCTCTGTGTCTAAATTTCCCTTTTTGATAAGGAAAGAGTCATTAGACCAGGACCCACCCTGATTGGCCTGATCTTAACTTGACCATCTGCAAAGATGCTGTTTCCAAATAAGGTCACTTTCACAGGGTTAGGACTGCCATATCTTTGAGGGTGGGGGGTACAATTCAACCCAGAACCTTCCTCATCTCTTCTGAGGAGATGTGACTGAAAGCCGGGAGAGACCAGGATTACAGTAGATAAGGCAGCAGAGGGGTTTGACTTTGGATCAGAAGCCCTCGGTCAGGATCCCCGCTCCAAATGTGTGACATGGAACATGTCATTTCACACGTATGACACGAGAAGCTATTGCATCTCGGTCACTCAGACCATCTTGGAGGGGACCCACCTCCCCCGCTGCCCCGATGCCGGGCTCCCCGGGTGTGCTCACCTGCGGACTCTGGGAACTCCGAAGGAAAAGCAAAATCTCTGACGGCCCAGAAATCCCAGAGTTAGAAGCCACGAAATATGCCATCTCTTCCCCCTCCTCCAGGCCAGACCCGATTAATCATCCTACAAAGAGAACACAGTGTTCCATTTAGAAAGCCATGAGCCGGGAGATGCCACAGCCCCTGGTGACATTCAGCAATCATTTCCTGGCCCCGTCTGAGATGACAGCTACTTACCTAAAGCTAAAAGGAAGAGATAAAGACCAAGCCTGGATGTTCCAGGGAGGAAATGCCCCAACAGGCTTCAACCTTCTGGAAGATAATTGTTCTCCAACTTATGTTTTTACAAAAGTTGCCATGCACCCCCCCCAAAGAGCAGTATGGCAAGGATTAGCATCAAATCCAACTCTGAGTGAGCAGATAAAGCCAACGTTTTCAGCAACAAAAAATGGCCAATTGAGAGAACTGGAGTCACCTTCTCCCTCAGGAGGACCTGAGGCGTGGGCAGCAGGGCAGAGGGGATCAGATGGGAAGGACTGTGGCCCTCACAGGAGGCCTGCAGCATTTGAGAGACCAGAGAACCCGGCTGGCCACAGTGAGGGAGCGCACGTGTGCCATGTACCTGCGCGCCCGGCACCTGCGCTCTGCACACAGGAAGAATACAACCCTCCATTCTCACGGCAGAACCAGTTTTGGCCCCCTTGGGATCACCAGCCCCCGGCTGAGTACATACACTAGGGAACGCAGTTTATTTGTATAATTTCTGAATTTATGAGGCCTCAGAATGTGATAGATAAGGGAGGGACCTACAGCAATGCCACTCCTCTCAGATGACCACATCTGAGCTGCAGAACCTGTGACTGTGTCACCTTACATAGTAAAAGCGGACTTTGCAGAAGGGATTAAGGATCTTGAGATGGGGATGAACCTGGGTTACCTGGTGGGGCCCAATGTCCTCACTGGGGTCTTACAAGGAGTGAAGCAGGAGGGACGTAGTAGGAGAAGGTGTAGTAAAGGAGCAGATGTCACACAGGGACTTCGAGATGCTGAAGGGCTGGCCTTGAAGGTGGAGGAGGGGACGCCAGGCCAGGGAACGCAGGTGGCCTCAGAGGCTGGGAAAGACAGGAGGCAGGCTTTTGCCTTGAGTTTCTAGAAGCTGACGCATCTCTTACTCATGACCTTCAGAACTGTGGGGTAACTTATCTGTAAGGCACAACATCTGTGGGAAGATACAGCAGCACACGGAAGTCCTGGAGTCTCCCAGACCCGGGCACAGGTCCTGGCTCTGCCACTCACTACCTATGTAACCCGGGCAAGGTGTTTAATACCATCGACAGCCATCTGGAAACGGGAATCATGACATTGACCTCATAAGGGAGCTCTGAGGACAGCAGCTGCACAGGGCCATGGTAACGACATAAAGGAGTCAGGGCCACTGTAAGCAGTCTGCTGTCACACCCGCCCTCTGCTCCGAAGTCCCCGGCTTATCACCAGCCAGATTCCCCACCCGAGCATTGATGCCTAAAACTTCACAGATCTTTACGAAAATGAAAATGCCTCCGTTTTCTCTTTCTCTGGTTCTTTTCTAGCAAGCCCATCACATTAGTCCCCTCTTTAAAAAAAAAAAAAATTGCCCGGTCCTCATTGCTAATGGATGGCAGGGAGGAACGTGCCATTTATCTGCCAGGACACATCGTTTTTCAGAAGCAGAAGAATGTCTCTGTTTCACTTGGATAAGGAGCCTCTAAATTAAAATCTTCCCTTTTGTTCACTGTCAATTGTTTCTGAAAAGAACCCCCTAAATTTGCTTTTAAAGATTACATATATATATATACATAAATATGTGCATGTACGTATATATATACATACATACATACGTACATATACGGAGATTTTTTAATTGAAAATTCTTACTTGAGCAAAGTGCTCCTGCTTATGATATAATAAGCAGGGAGGGAGAATAGACGCAATTACCATTTGAGAAAAGTGTCATGGGAGACCAAACATCATAAATCATAGCTACCTAGATAGAGAAAACTAGGGGGCAGCGTCCCTGGCCTGGATGGGTACAAATATATGTGCTCTCTCAGTATCTGCTGTTTCCCCTAATTGGTCTCCTGTCCTTGCTGTTGTTGAGATGGAGCCTCTCTATGCTGAAGATGCTCGTCTTGGACTAGGTATACTCCTGCTGCAGCCTCCCTAGTAACTGGGATTACAGGCGTGTGCCACCATGCCTGGCTGCTCTTTAAAACACACACACACACACAAAAAAAAAAACTGTTTCCACAACTCAAATAAAAGCAGTGCTTGCAACCTTTTGTTGTAGTGGACACAGAACTTAGCAAAGGGTATCAGATATACCAGGGCTTTGGATGGCTCTATTTCCTGGAATCCCCAGGAGATTCCGTTGCTCTCACGGGTACTGAAGAGCAGCAAGGAAGGCTTACCTCTGCACATCGTGGAGATTGCAGGGAACCGGAGATGCTCCCTGTCTCCACTCAGCTTCAGGGGTAGCTCTCTGTGGGGATCCCTTCACAGATAACGAGGCTTTTCAGTGACAGCCTGATTTTAAGAGTTGACTTGAAATTCCCCAATTCTGAGAAACCTCCACACTGTGCTGGCCACACACGGTGCTCTGACATAAGCAGATCTCATAGTTGGCCACCTCTTGTGTTGTCTTGATCCTCCCCCTACTTTATACCTGTCAACAAAGACAGCTTTAAAAAAATATCATTCCCATCTGGAAGGAACTAAGCCCTGAAGTCCCAGAGCCAACTCCAAGTGGGCTGGCTTGGTTGCTGGGCTCACTTGTCATCCTGCCCATTGTGTGTGCTCCCCATCAATGTTTCCACGGAGAGGGACGGTGGTGGACACTGCCAGGGGCCCTTCACCTCATAGCACTGTGGTCTCATCCTATACCAATAAGCTGCCTGCAGGGCTCATGTGTCAGCCTTTTTAAAATGGCCTGGGGGGGCGGGGGTGCATTGCTCCAAGCAACTTAAACCGTTCAAATTTCTGAATTTTCCAAGCAAGAGATTAGACACCAGAATATGGAGATGTCCCCATGGCTATTGCTCTCACTCTAGGATGCAAGGCCCACATGGCCTGGAGACCCCGGATGAGAGATTACTAAGAGTGGCCGCTGTTGCAAGCCCACCTCGAAAAACAGGAGATGAGTCAACTGATCCTTCCCTCCGCTTTGGATCCCCCTCTGTCTTTTCTTCCTGTTACTTTTTTTCTTTACATTATTGGGACATTGTTTCATGCCATGAGATGCAGTGGGGCATAGGCACAGTGAACACTCTGCACCACGGACTCCAGCTCCGATACCCCCAGCCTCCCCCGACATGCCCTTGCTTACTTAGCCTGTCTGGCTTCTCATACGGAGGGCAGCGCTTGGGAGATTCATCCACGTGGCAGCCTGTGCCAGGGCTTCACGCCCTTGATGGGTAAATACTCCTCTATTCAGCGGGCCTCGTTTTGCTTACTCATTCACAAGGGGATGGAGATGGGGGTGGTTTCCATGAGCTGTCACGAATAATTCTACGCTGAACATTTGGGCGCCGTTTTCCATGAGCATGCGTCTTCATTCTCTGGGCTGTGCCTAAGAGTGGAAATGCTGGCTCCCGCGGTGCCTCTGTGTTTGACTTTCTAAGGATCAGAGCGACTGACTGAGCCCTTCACGTTCCCACGGGCACTGTGTGGAGGTGCGGTTTCTCCAGGTGGCTGTCTGCCTGTTTGGTTTGGCCCAGCCTCGTGGATGTGACCTGGCACTCCGTGGTGGTTTTCTCTGACACTGCTAGGCCCCTTTCTATGTGTCCATTGACTGTTTTGTCCTTTTTCTGTGGGAGAGCAAGGCCATCCTGATATGGCTACTTCTGCTCCCTTCTCCCCAGAGCCCTTGCTGGTTCTGTCTCCTGGCTCATGTTCCCAGAGTCTGTCTTCTTGTGTCATGACTCCATCTTCACCAGGCCCCCCATCATCAAAGCCTGCCTTTGTCTGCAGCTGGGGGCTCTAATACTGAACTGCTTACCATCTGAGGGTGCTTCATACTGTATCAATGGGGAAAGATACACTGTCACACCCTCTGGAAATGGGAATCTCTGGACCCTTTCATGAGATTAAATCTGGCTGTTTTTGTTTGTTTGCTTTTAATTATCTGCTCATTGCTATAGCAATTCTATATTTGTGCCTCTAGTTTATAGGAGGAAAATACCAGTTTAGGATTTATGAACATGGAAGCTCAGTCCAGCACTGTTTATAGTAAACATG